CCTGCTAAACATGATCTGTGGCATTCATGTAACCAAACTGTATAACCTTTCATGATAAAAAGTTAATTTTCTTCAAATATTTCAAATGTTAGGCTACAGCCCTATCTTTTCACATTGAGAAGTAAAACTAATTATGCAGTTTGTTACAAGTAGTTTGCTTATAAGATATAAAATAAATGGATCATGTATCCACGATTTACCTTTGGTAAAACACTTAATACTTAGTATTTTTGAAACAAAGGTATAATTAGGGCTTAGATTAAAACCTGACTCTTTTGAAAACAATGGAGGGATGTTATGCAAGAAAGCAAGTAACATGTAACAAACCCACCCTCTTTCCTGCTATACCCCCACAGGAGGATTTAAGTCTTTCAAGAAATTGAATAAACAACACTCTGGGGTTACTCAGGAATGTTTATAGTGATTAGCTTTAACATCATGCAATAAAGTATGGCAAAGAAATAAAATTCTTGCAGAGTCAGAGAACATGGAAGCTAGAAGGGCTGAGTCATGGAGAGGCAGCATTAAATATATGACATATATATATTTAAACACCCTTGATTATTTGGGTTATACTGTACCTTCCTGGTGCAAAATACCCAATTTACTGGACCCTCACCACAATGGTACCAGAATTTTGTTCTTGCCAAAGTAACAAAACTCTATATGCTGGCTCTAAGTGTATGATCAAAGGGATCCAGCATCCAGTTTCCACCCACTGTGTGCAGGCTGCCAAATCAAATATTTACTACCCCTTGAACTGGCCAGCCAGGAATGCAGCAGCAGAAAGGAGTATGAACCACATATGTACTGCCACTGACCTGGTACAAGTTCTGTTTTCTGGAAGAGGTTCAAGAGGAATTTAAAGTGAACATGCTTTGGCTACACTAGTAGAAAAATTCAGTGGTTTTTTTTTAAAAAAACAAACATACAAACAAAGCCCCCAGAAAACAGAAAACAAACCCAAACCATTTACAACTGTGCTGCAGTAAGAACATTGCTTGAGCAATGTCCCAGAAAATTATCCTTGCTGGAAGCCTCCCAATTGACATATATTGTTTCATTATAGAATAGGAATTAATTAAGCCATTATGTATTAATTTCCTTTAAAATGCTTTTGTTCTAATAAGTGCCTTCAATAGTTAGTAATTTTCTCCCCCTGGCTGAAGGGTCTTTGAAATGTGGTGATAAATAGAACAAATGGGAGAGAACTTTTTTTACTTTTATTGTTTTGTGCACTTTGCCTTCAGGAGGTAGGAAAATTTCAGGTGTGCCCTGCTACATGCTAAACACTTTACATATGTCATGTAGTTCAGAGAAGGAACATACCAGAACATACCTCTTCATCACCAATATTTGAAGCAAGCTCTAAAGATTTTTTTTCTTTTTCATTGTATTTTGCTAACTAGCAGAATGTAGTGGTCTGAAAGATGCTAGGAAAATAAGTAATTTTTGTAAAGGAAATAGGTTTTTGCTTGGCAGTCATATTCAAAGTAAGATGTTTCACCATAGCCAGAATAGAGTACAAAGCCCATTGTGTTTGATGTGTGTTTAATGCTTGCAAAACCACAATGCACTAATTGCTAGGTTACCCATGTTAGAGGTGTCCTGGAATGAAAATCTCCTTCATGTTCTACCTTAAGGTCCAACATGGCTCCTAACCAGAGTTAATTGCTGGATATTGGGCTGTTACGGAAACACTTTAGGATCCCATCACACCTGGTGGCTTCAAGAATTCAGGGGGAAACTTTTGCACCTGCATAGGAAGTCTTGGCTGTATATTAGTTCCACATTGCTTTTACTTTCTGGAGAGCAGAGAACATGTAAACTCTAGATATGGCAAATATATAAAATGAGGAGAATAGTGAGTATTCTCAGAATAGTGATGTCCTATTTATTATCTACATAGTTTTTTGCTTGAAATAAACACATCGAGTTCAATCTCAAAAGTGATTACAAACTCAATAGTAGAAATTTCATTTACCCCTTATTATCAGCGTTATCCAGAAAAATCTGTTGCTGTTTTGCAGCTATTTCCTCAGGCATTCTTAATAAGATGCCCTCCTGTTTCCTAATTATCATTTACAACTAAGAAAAAATACCACAAATTTAACACATGCAACAATTTCATTTAGTACTGAGAATAAGTTTGTTTACCCTGTGCTAGATACACAGATATATTTAGATTTGTTCTCAGGATTCTAGGTATCTGTTTCTCTTCATCTTTCCACATCCATGCTGCTTTTTACAGCCATTTTTTGTTTCTTTTCAATTTATTAATATCCTTGTTACAGCATGGTGTCCAGAACTTAACAGCAACCCAGCTGCAGCCTCATGACTGCTGAACATGTGTTGCAGTAATGTAATCTCTGTGCAGTTTCTTGTAATTGCAGATGTCATGGTAGGAAATTCACATTCAGTTTATAAACATCTCAAATAATCATAGATGGTTTGGGTTAGAAAGGATCTTAGAGATCATATAGATCTAACCCCCCTGCATGAGCAGGGACACCTCCCACTAGATCAGGTTGCTAAGAGCCCCTGTCCAACCTGTTCTTGAGTATTTCCAGGAATGGGGCTTCCCTGGGCAACTTGTGACAGTGTCTCACCAACTTCACACTAAAGAATTTCCTCCTCATGTGTCACCTAAATCTCCCCTCTTTCAGTTTTAATCCATTCCCCCTTGTCCTTTTGCTCCCTGCCCTTATCCAAAGTCCCTCCTCAGCTTTTCTGGAGCCCCTTCAGGCACTAAACTATAAATAAATCTTGGTACTTGGCTCCTACACCTGGGGCTTTGAGAAATTCTTAGAACCACAAGAGAGGCAGAAAACTCAGCAACTACTACTCACCTCTAGTGTTTTCTTGCTGTTTTCCTTAATTTTCTCTCCTTTTTTTTTCCTCTCATTGAGAGTTCATTGCATTTAACATTTAACTTCTGGCTTTCATCCTTTTGTAGAGTGCTACAAAAAGCACTTTGTAAGCATTTGCTTGTTCAAACCCATTTTTCTTTTCACTTTATCCTTCCTCCAAAAAAAAAACCAACCAAACCTCTTCACATTTTAAATAGCTCTCTGGAATAACCATGTGTTCTCCTAGCTTGTTATGGCATACCCTGAGCTTAGAATTGTTCCTTACAGAATTTTACTTACCCTCAAGGTGTTGCTAATAACACCATTAGCAATGATTTTCCCTTTTTGGCAACGAAACTTATGCAGTGGTTATTTGTTGTAGTGCCTGCTGCAAGGAGCTGCTCAGTGCTGTGGTTAACAGAAAAGAAAAAAAAAAAAAAAAAAAAAAAAAAAAAGCTGAAGTAGTCTGGAAAGTTCACAATAGATAGTTGACATATTTTTGCTGGTTGTCAGCTAAGGCTCTCATAAGACCATAGACAGCATGAGTGAATGTAGGAAGAAACAATACATCTGCAGACACTGGCAGACAGAATTGCTTGCCAAATTTGGCCACAGTTCCTTTAGATAAATAATTTCTCTGTGGTGTGCTGAGTTGAAATTATATAAACAGCAAAAATTACTAAGACCTTGGGCCCCAGGGCCTTGTGGGTTTTCAGATTTTCTGCAATCAATATTCTGACATCTGCAAATATTTTTCTCTAACAGCTGATGCCAGGAACAGAGCAACATTACCATCACTTTCTATGTACTCAAGATTTTTGATATATTGAAATAATGTCTCTCCAACCCTGGTCAGGACCTTGGCACTATCACAACCACCAGCTCACATGAGAAGGCTTATACAAAAGTTATCACAGCAGCAATCTTTTCTCAGAATGGCTTGCAACTTCTTATAGCAACAACTCCATTAGCATTTCAAGAAACATACATGGAAAAACAAAGTATTAAGTTTCAGTCTCCAAAATTATCAAGGGTTTTAGAGTAACTTCTGCTGAACATCGTGTAACTTACTTTGTACATTGAATGTATGGGGTTAGAGGTTATTACAGTTGTTTTCCCTACCTAGGACCAGATAATAGCTAGCTTCTAACTCTGTGGTAAGACTTCCTTCATAATTAAGATACTTCCACTATGACAGTCATACACACTAGAGATATCTGAAAAGTGTTTTCTATCACTGAGGAATTTATACAGGAAACAAATTGCATAATTCTTCCTGAACAGAAACATCCTACAGGAAAACCTTACCTAATTTTTATAGAAGTATCTGTAGACAGTCTTCTGAAGTCATAAAAACAAATCCTTTATTTAACAGATATTATTTTAAAAGATCAATTTCCATAGCAGAAATCAAACCTATGCCTGTCACATGAGACAGTCTGAAGGCAGTAGCTGTTAAGTATACACAGTTACCCGTGACACTAAGGAAATGTGGGCCATGCAAAATGAGTAACTACATTCATTATTATTTTTAAGTAGGAAAGACCAAACAGAAACAAGTATGTACTTTTAAAAGTTAAGCTTTTCTTTTGATGATGATAGCCTCCGGCACCTGGCCCCTCCTGCAGTAACTCCCAAAGCAATACTGTTCTCTGAAAACAGTCCTAACAACATTAAAACACTTTGCTCCATTTTCATTTTCAGTCCCTTATGTACTAATCAGGAACAAGGCAGAGATACACAAGTTTGGAAAAAAGTTTCTCAAGCACTTTCTTATTTCAATCATACCTTAAGGCACATTTGTAAATTTTAAGGGAATATTTTGAGAATTAAGCATAGACCTTTTGAAACTGTAGTTTTTGATCAAAGTTAACTTTCTTGGCGAAGAGGTATGCGCAGCAATAGTCCCTCAGATGTGTCACATGATATGACCATGTTATTGATGTTTATGGGATTTTTACATCTGCAAGTGTTTCTTAAAACTAAACTGATGTTTGCAATCTACCTGTGCAAAAAATGATGTCAGTAGTTCTGTGCAGAGTGTGGGGGAATTTCAATGGGTGTAAATGTTGAGGGCAACAAGGTAAAACTACCTCAGTATCTCATTTCCGCATAAAACATATGAAAACAATAAGAGAACAAGGTATCTTCTCAGAGTCTCATGTCTTTGAAAAATGGATGCAGCAAAGCCTCTTTTGCGGTTATTCTTGTTGCAGGGTTTAAGTCTAGTAGCTTATCAAGTAGGTCATATGCTTCATCAGGAACCTGATCCCATCCTTTCACGTCTGTTGCCTTCATTTCTAAAGCACCATCACCTTCCTGGAAGCTCTTTAAATGTTGAATTTGTTTGCCAAGTGTCTCAGGAGCACACGGTTTGTCTACTGCAACTGGCATGGCTAAGTCATTTACAGACCTGCTAAGCACTTCACCCTGGGATCTCTTACAGCTGCTGCTTGTTCCTCTCAGCTTCTCACAGAGGGTTCTTAAGTTTTGTGCTGGGACAACCTGGGTACATAGAACTGATTTACCTAGAAAAAAGAATTTACAGTAAGTGACATTTTATTATACTTTCTATGCAAGTGTAGCTTCTAAGTATGTTTCAGAGAAAATTTACATCTTGAAGTGTAATCGGCATTAAAATGCAACCAACCAACTTCACAAAAAAACAAATCCAACCTCCACCCTCACTCCTCTGAACCAGCTATAAGCTACAGCAATAGCCCCAGCAAGTCAGAAGGGTAATAATCCCAGTGCTGTTCAGAACAGAGCTGTTTGGGGCCGTTTATGAATTTATGTGAGGTCATCACCCACCCCACCCACTGTCTTTCTGAAGTAAATTAGGTACCTTGATTTTTAGACCTTCGCCTGGAAAATGAAAATCAATGCTGTTGGTTGCACTTCCAGGTAGGAAGTGTTGCAGCATTTTGCTTGCAAACAATTAAGAGGTATGGTTATTTTGGGGTTTTTTGTGTGTTTTGAGGTCGTTTTTTGGTTTTTTTTTCAACAGACCATCTGTTGGATTTTGATTTTGTGGTTTTTTTACTAGCCCTTCTTGAGGTCAGGGGGAGAAGCAAGTTTTACATCATCTAAATATTAAGTCATACTGACTTAAGCCTCCAGGGAAAATTTTGCAGGAATAGAAGCATTACCTCAAGATTCTAACCAACTGCCAGTAGAAAACATTTAGCTGGCATATTTCACCTCAAATGGCCCTGATTTAATGAAAGGCAGTAGGCAGGTTGGGAAGCCTATGGCACGAAGTACCCCATATAAAATTATAAAAGATAGAAAAATACTTTCTTAAGCTCTGTATAGAGAGGCTTGTACTTTTAGTGTTTTACATGCAAAAATTATTTACCTCCAAAAGGGCTCCCAAACCTAAAAAAATATATATTTATTTTTTAAAATCACAGATTGTAAGTCACTGCATTAAATAGCAGACCAAGTATATGTTTTCCCCTTTTCCCCTTTTCCCCATAATTAAGTTTTGCATACCAAAAGTTTTAGCAGCCTGAATGGTTTCTCTGGATCCACGAACTGTCATGATTTGTGCCAAAGCAGTTAAATCATCACTTGCTTTGTAGAACGGATACCGTCCGCTGAGCAGAGAAAGGAATATGATTCCTGCAGACCACATGTCAATTGCTGCAATTGAAAGCAAACAATGATGACTAAACTCACAATTTGATCACAAACAAAATCACAACTTTCCTTAAAAAGAAGTTAAGACCTGAAAAGTCCCCATCATAAAAACGTTCTGAATTACTTACTGACTTGAGTTCCATAGATAAAACTTCAGCAAACAGTGCAAATTACTATAATTAGATTGAGGAATAATTTCCTGCTTTGATACAGAGGGAGTGTTTAAGATTTTCCATAGATTTTTTCATATGAGTAATTCCACTTGCTAAGCTTTAAAATGTACCAAAATGATACTTGAGGTTGTTTTACCCAGGGAGCAAAAAACTGGCTAGTTTTAATACTTCAGTTTTCTTCACATGTAAAGATAATAAATAATAAATAATTCACAAATTAATGTGAATATTATTTTTCTGGGACTGAGGATGCCATAGTTAGGCAGAACTAACAAAATGTATCTTACTGTGAACTTTTTTCCTCTCTAATATGAAATCACTTGACAAGATAGCCAGTTTAAGAACTGTAACAGTTAGAAGTTATTCATCACTTTCATACTGTTACAAAGAGTACAGAGAGTACTCTGGGGACAGATGCCAAAGCATGATGGAAACTTTAGTACTGAAAGTTATGAGAATACCTGTCTGCCATAATTTTTTGGCTCACTAAGGTGCACATTTTGAGAGATGGCATGGAAAGTAGAAGAGACAGTTTGAGATTCTCAAACTCTAAGGAGAAAAATTAACAGTTGGGAAATAAAGCCATAGTTACTCTACTTCTCTTAAAAAAAGGTAGTATGATAGGCAGGAATTATTATGGACATTTATTTTAGCTACCCTATTAGCATAGGAGTTTGGGAGGAAAAAAGTATGAAGTTGACTTCAGTTGCAAAACTAGATTTTATGTCTTTTATTAATAAAATAAAAAAATCCAAGTTAATCACAATTTACAGTGGAAAAGATTTGTATCTTCTTCATAGTTTCTGTAAAAAAAGTTTTAGTATTCCTGTATAACTGTTGAAAGAATCATACTGTCTAGTTGAGGTGTTGTGCATCACCCCAATATGTGGCTGGGAAAGCTGGAATGATCAAGGTCAAGACCTTTAATGATTTTTAATTATGTAACTCTTGCCAAAATAAGCAGACATTATGTATCTGACTGAATAGTAAATCCTGGCCCCACATTTCTGGTAGAGCTGGGATCATCAGCTGACAGCAAGATCCTGTGCAATGACATAAAAATCACAATTCCTCTCTATGCTTTTGTCTGGTGTTTTCCAACCAGTGAGGCAGGCTGAGGAAAGGGAAGCAGAAGGACAAACCAAGCTGAAGTGTAACTGCACCTGTGGAACATCACCTTTGGAGTTTAGGTTGGATTCCCTGCACTGTGAACCTGAGTCAGATGCACCAGGGTAGCTCTGGATAGAATCAGCTGGATCCAGCTGGTAACTTGGTCTCAGCACTAAGCTCAGAACTAGAAGTAAGACTGGCAGGAATACAAGGAGGTGACTACACAATCCCAGATGGAAGTTGACAAAAACACTTTTTAGTTCAAATAGAATGAAATCTCATAAATATTAGTATTAGTCTACCCAGTTCTAATTAAGGCCTTTGTTGACATACTGCAGGAGCTCAGCACCACTCACTCAGTACTTCTAGGGCTGTCTGTGCCACACCCAAGGCTTTCAAGATTTACCCGTATTTTTTGTAATCTTGCTCTCCATTACCCTCGAGAACAGAACACTGTTTGAGAGCATATTTAACATTAGTATGTGTCCAGGATTTCCTAGGTATGTCTTCTTTCTGCCTAAATTCTGTCTAGAGAGATTCAGATTGTCTAAACTTGTCCTGGATTTCTTCTAGCCTATGAAGCTGGCTGTTAAGCACAGGCACAGTACTCCAAATCCCCAGTCACACCCACAGCACAGATGCTGTATCAAACATCATTAAGCTATGTAGGGGTAAGATGATCAAATGCCTTGGTTAAATACTAGAAATTGACAATTTTCTCAAAAGATATTCAGCAAAAAAGTGGCTAAAAACTTATTTTAAATCCAGTTTTTGAGGACATTTGTATTTATCTGCCTTTTTCATAAGTCATAACTCCTGGTCATACACAAAATGTTTAACAGGTGACCTTGCTTTTATTGGTCCTCCATTCTCCACGTAGGCAAAACCTCTCTCATCCTACTTGCATCAAATAATGCATTGAACATTCCTCTGTTCTGCCCTGATACTTACCCAAACTACTGAAACCTACTAACTTCATAGTTTTTTAATTTGAGAAATCAAATTTACTAAGAAAAAATTAAAATATTTCCAGACCAGCTACTTGAAGCACTAGCAAAAAGGGAAAAATATAATAAAAATGATTAAGCAATCCTTTTTAATGATTGTAATTATACTATTAACTGTCTGCTATGACAAGTTGTGTGACCATCTGCCTAGAAAAGTCTAAAATACGTCCCCTCCCCAAGATTTATTAAAGATTTTACTTGAATAAGTAACCCAAGAAACTCGATAAAAATTACAGCTCTTTTTATTTTCAAATTAATTATTTTAAAGCTCACTCAGCTCCTGCATGTGGCACTACCCCTCAAATGAATAAAGACATATTCAAGTTTCAAACACAAGAAAAATATTCCTAACTTTTTCTTACTCTGAAAAAATAAACTTTTCATTAAAATCAGGAAATGCTTGGTAAGTATTAGATGGAATGATAAACTATCACAAGTAAACAAAACTCCTCCCATAAAAAAGATATATAATGCATAAATGAGAAGGAGCAAGAGCTGAAAAAAGGCATTCTTTTCAGTCTGTTGTGTAGTACCTGTGGTTTGTGTGGGGCACTTTGTTAATACTTCTGGTGCTCTGAATCCAGGTGTTCCTGCTCTGGGAGCAACTTGCTGACACCTTGTAGTAAGAGACAAACATTTTAGAAAATAAAAGTTGATAAGTAAGTTCTAATAATAAAAATGCTTAATATTATCTTTATAATATACTTGTGTAAGATGTGTAAACAGCCTACCCTGCCTTATCCAAGTTTTAAAGAAGTTTGAAGCCTCTTAAAATTATCTAGCATGAAATGACTATGTTGGGTAAGATAATAGCCTTAGTATGTTATATGTTATTAGATCATTGTGGAGAACGGCCCATCTTCTCCCCCTACATAAGGCTAAGGTAATACCATGACTAAGGTAATAACATAAGGTAATACCACAGAAACACTTATTACATACTTTACTCACAGCGACCTTTTTTAGTTTCATTCAACAACATCATTTTTGCTAAAGGCTTGTTTTCATAGGAGACTTGAAAGTTGAAAATAATTAACCAAGGGCAAAAAATGTACTAGATTCTTGAATGTGGATGCTCTGGTTTTGCATTAGTCTACAGCAAACTAAGGTTCACTGTGAGCATTGACAAGAATTTGCTTTTTGTTACATTGACTAAAAGGTGTGAGATTATAATTATTAAAAACAAAAACAAAAACAACCCACCAACACAACAACTTTCCAGAGATTTCTGGTATGGCTTGAAGTGCCACCCTTCTATGGGCCACTTCTCTTTTGAGTTTGGCAAATTCCTCATGTTTCATACTTCTGAAATTAAGTTGGTATCACTATATTTTGACAGTCTGGAAAGAAAGTGACCCCAGAGTTTCATGACTATGCCCAGTAAGGACAATTCTCTGCTTTAATCTGTGCCACTTAATGTGTGGATAAAAAGCAATAGCAGATCATAACTAAACTGAAGTGCAGACAGATGCAGTTGAACAGAGTTAAGATTCTCTAACCTGTCCATTATTAAAGCTTAAATATTATTTTTAAATTAATAAATAGAAATCAGTCATGTTTCCTTTTTATTCTACATTTTGAGATTTCCAGAATCCAGACCATTGGCACGATTTAGGCTTATTAGATGATTACTAATGACAGACTGATTTATTGTCTTCTCTAAGTGTTGTAATTAACTCAAGCAATTTTCTACAACACATGTAGGTGGGTGATTAAATACAATAAAAATTATTAACAGTAAATCTCTCTTCACAGATAGCAGTGAACCAATTATTTTATGAATTCCATCAACTCTCTTGTTTAAAAAGGACATACTCAGTGTTTTAAGGGTTGCACAGATGAAGTGCTATCTTTCACCTACTAAATCAGCTGTCTAGTAAATCTAAGTTTCTGACTTCGCTTGACAGCACAGCAGACAATTTTACAACATTATCAAAGCAAATTACCTGGAAAGGCAAACGCTGCAAACTCTATCCGTTGCGAAACAGTCACAGATCAGGTTTGAGGGACAACCACTGGCAGCCTTCCTGGCTGCCCCATTGCTCACTGTTTTGGTAGAAATAATCTTCTTCTTTGTGACTAACTTCCTAGATGACACATCTATCATCTTTGATTGTTTTATGAGCTGTAATGGAGATATTTTAGAGAAGGTGACACATTTAAGAAGGTTCCTTTTACATAAAGATAGGCCAGTTTCTAAAATACCAAGATTGAACAGGCACTCATCAGCAAGGAGCTGCAATTTTGTAGCAGAAAACTGCAAAACATTCTAACACTACAGCATCTATAAAACATGCTGGAGCTTTCTAAATATTCTGATTTCCTCCCCTGCCCCTTTGGAAAACATTTTTTTAGTGTTAACTAAAACCTAATATACATTAGATATTCTGAAGCTACAAGTATTTTTCAAGTTCGTATAATTTTTAAAAAATTATTTTGCTTCAACATGAGGACGAAAAAAGTCTGTATTAAATGCCACAGCTACACTAAGATGATTGGTTTTGGCAAACCCCTCTAATTTAGTCAGGGCTTCTCCCTTTGCACATTATATACTAATTACAAGAAGTACAAAAAAATATTTATGGCAAATTTCCTCTCCAGCTTCAATAGCAAAATAAAAAAACCTGAAGTTTCACAAGCTAAACATTATCTTAGGTGCACAGATACATGTGTAGAAGAAAAGATTAACTTAGCACACAAACAAGATCAGCTAGGGAGACAGATATGCAATTAGCTCCTTAACAGTTTCAGAAGGGACTAAAAGAGACGTGAAAAATTTTCTGAGCCCTTCAGCAAAGATGCACTTAATCTGCTCAAAAACTTCTAGTTCCAGAGCATCCTGGAGCAGTGTCCAGTCTTACAGAACAACCAGCTCTATAATTTTTCAAATATGTAACAAACTGCTCTTACTGATGAGTCATAGTTCTTACTTTTGTACTTGAATTCTCCTGGTACGTGGAACTATACACATTGAAATTCCTCTCTCCAAAGACAGAGCGCTGAACAGAATGGTGCACAGAATCCTCCTGTAATACCAACAAAAAGGACAATAAGAATCCTATCTAACACACAGCTGGATACTGACAGTTTAAAAAAAATAGTGTGAAGTAACATAAAACAAGAATTGCTGCATGGTGAGTAATTTTCAGGCATTAGTTTACTGTGGATAAAGAAAACGCGGTCTAGACAGAAGAGTGAACATGCTTAGAAAACGAATGGCACCTCAGAAGTGCCCCAAGACAGTCTGAATGTCATCTGTACTGCATTTGTTATGCAACTAAGTAACCAGACATAGATTAATAATTATGGGCTTGGGGAGGAGTTCCACAGTACATGTCACTTAAAAAAAGATTTAAGGCTGTTTAAGGCTGTTAAAAGCCATGCTAGGGTTTTATACAGCCTTTAGCATTCCATTGCATCTAACAGATAATGAATGATGCCAGCAACATTATGTAAAATGAGCCACTTTTTGATATGAAATCTGTGGCTCTGTGCATCACATGAGGACCCTGCAAGACAGGCATGCACGACTCTTTTTCAAGTATGACATCTCCCCCTGTTGGATGAAGTAATACATTAAACATACAGCAAAATTAATGAAAAAGACTGAGAACCTTTCCTCCTCTTCCTTGTTTAATCTGCATTTTTGAAAGTGAGCTGGACCGTTTATCAACTGCTTTTGAGGCTGACTGTTCAGCTATCTGTTTAGGTGCAGTGACACTGACAGAAACCCCATTTCCCAAGGCTAGGGTGGGATTATTTTGTGAGCAACTTCCCTGCTGGTCTTCTGTGTGGGCAGTTTTTAGAAGTTCAATTTTCGTATCAGGGGTTCCTTGTGCCAAGCCAAAATCTACTAAGGCATACCTGAAAGACACAAATTTAAAATCAGGAGTGACAAAGTATCTATAAACCAGTTCAATTTATTATTCCTCACTTGTTTACTTAGCTTTCTTTTCCATTTAACAGAATATGCTTCTTATCTGTACTGTTGCCAGCATCACAGTCCTATTGTCTTCTTTCTCCTTGTTTTGCCCTGTCATACTTAGCCCCTCAGTGTTTCTACCCTATACCCATGGTACTTCATTGTTTCTTGTTCCAAAATCTTCTCAAGTGTGTACTTTTTCCAATGGTGTTAAAAAAAACACATTCCCAGCAACTCCTCTGTGGGACTCCTCTAGTACTCACCAATACAGCTATAGCACTGCTAGCACTAAAACAGGACTTCATTCATCTCTTTCAGCTCTTCACATAAAAACAGTACCTTGCTTTCTGCATGCTTTAAATGTTGTAACCTGTGGGTGAAAACCCAAACCTACTAGTTGTAAAAATCAATTCAGTATAAGGTGACAACAGCCCAAATATAGCTATCCTATCTATATCAGTTTTCCTCTATCCATGAGTAAAAATTTGCAAATATCAGACTACAAGTCACCATTAACTTTCCTATAAACAAACAAAAAACCCCTGATTGTATTCTTCTCATTCTTATTAAAAACCATAGTCCTTTCACTCAATAGTAAAATCATCATTTGTTCAGGTGCTTGTCACTCTGTGAGGCAGATACTACATGAAGTATGAGAAAAAGAAACTCCTTTCCTCCTCAAACCTCAAAACGCGGAAAGAAAAGTTTTACAAATTGCCAAAAAAAATTTTTAAAATTTAGCTTTATGATGTAAGCACGTTAGGCAGCTGGAAAGAGAAAACTGCACAGCCTAAGTGACTCGGTTGTGCCAAGGTACAGGTCCTCAAATGAGATCACAACGTGGTCATCTGGACAGACTTACTCTTTTAGGCGCCTGTTGTAGAGGAAGTTGCTGGGCTTGACGTCCCGGTGAACGATACCAAAGTGATGGATGCGCCTCAAGGCTTTCAACAAGTTAAACATGTATTCCCTCACTTCTTCAAAGGAAAGAGAATTCAAAATATCCTGAAAGTTTATTTGGATACTGTAATTATGTAACTGCTTTTTTTAATTAAAAAGTTTTAGTACACATAAAAGGTCTGGGACTCACCAGGAAGGATTCATGTTCCAGATAGGGCATAACAATAACCACATGATCATTTTTCCTAAAGCAGTATTTAACTCCCATAACGTTATCTTGTCCCCTAGAAGAAAAGTAATGTCATGGAATAAATATCTGAAGATAGATGCTTATTTTCCTTTATTTCTTAAAAACTTCAGTCAGGCTTTCTTTTAAAATCTATTTTTTATTTTGAGAGATAGCAGCAGCCAGAAGTTACACTGTTGCCTCTCACTGCTATGTTCCCTTTCTGAAGTTTGCAAGCAGGTCTCCACAGGTCATTTGTGAGACCACAGTTTGTAGTCATGCTGTAATTAAATGTAGGACCTAACCTTTGTGATGCTAACTACATTAAGAAGGTGCTATTCAGCACACTCTGGCAACAAATATTAATCCCTAAAGCTGTCTTTTCTGATTAAAATATTATTACTTCCAAGTATTTTGGAACTGGAATTTTTGTTATCACAGAGCTAAATCATAGAACTTGTCAGATGGAAAATACAACACGTTCTGCAGAGACTAGCAGAAAAGGGCATCCATTATGGGTAAGACACTCCATTTCTTATTTACTCTTGATAAAAAGAAAATGCATTTCTGCAGTTAAAAAAAAAAAAAAAAGCAAGCAAAGTGCCAAAACGTAAAATAAATACAGAACAGTGAGATAATGTTCAGCAGTTTAGTCAAGAAAATATTTTTTTCATTTAAGTACCCTGCTACTGTGAGGCACTGAAGTTCAGCAGCAATTCGCAGAGGGTGGCTGGTTGGAATCAAGTGTTTCAGAGCCATTTTTTCCTCATATCCTGTTTGCAGTTGTGCTGTGGCCAAGTAAACAGAACTAAAAGTACCTGTGAAGAAGGAATAAAAACACTGCCTTCAGCATTTTTAATTAGGTCAATTCAGATCTTTACAGAAGAGATCTGTTTACAGTCCTGCTGTATACTGGATACTACATCAAAAGCATATTCTAGAAGAGAAAAATGCAGTTCCTTTTTTCTACTACTGAATTCAGTGATCTTGTAAGCAAGTTATTTTTATGTCAGTAAAAATGCAAATGTAACACTAACTTGCCTGGGACACAAAGCTCTGTAAAAGTAAATTTCCCATCTTTGATTTGCTTTCTTGTTTAGGTAGCTTACTTTCATCTGATGTCTAAGTCCTCTCCCTACAAGGTAAGTGGGCTATATAATGCTAATCTGAAAACCACTGCCTCTACTATTCAAAGCACTTCTAAAATTGCTGCTTTTTTCTTAATTCTGTTACCTTATCTATAAAGTAAGACTTCTCACAGGATGTGTAACTTTACTATTTGTGTGCCTAGAGCATTACTACATAGACAGAATGTGATACTCATTTGAGAAAGGGAGTATTCAGAATGTATGATAAAGTTCCCCACACATTTAGTTTTAAGGATATCCTAAGATACCTCTTAGGAAGTCAGTTTATCCTAATCATCTAAGATATCAGAACATCCATGTGGAAACGTTCTTCCATACGAATAAACAGTACAAATTACTTTTCATTACATTTTAAGTATTGTGTTTGCATCATGCTAGCTCAACAGTAAGTGCCTACATACATCAAAATGCCAGCAAAAAACCTTAATACTTCTTGCAATCATAAAAACATCCAGTCTTATAGACTTAGTAGAATTGATTAGAGCAGTTACCAAGTTGATCTGAGACATTATTTTTGTGCTGAAAACTGCTAAAATGAAAGTGACTCCAGAGTGGAACACTAAGTTGAAGCTTGTTTTCTCATAATGCTGCAGAAAGTATTATTCATAATCAACGATTTTGTTTAATTATACTGTCTTTTTTATGATAGGCAGAATTCCTTTGTTTTGTTTTTGAAATTTTGTATTGCTGTGGCAAATGGAGCTAAGGTTTTTTTTAGTGTGGGGTCAGTTGTTTCTTTTTGAGAGACAAACGTTTGAGCATTTCAGAGCTCAAAATGTGCTAAAATCCCACACTCAGAAGTACCTAAGAATCTATTTATAGTCGTGTCTAATGTTTATTGAAACTATTTGCAATATTATCTCTTAAAGGCAAGGCATACACAAGTGTTCTAGAATTTGATACTGTTTGTCTAAATGGAAAAAAAGTTATTTGTTGTGTTTAGTTGGTTTTTTTTAAATAAAGCAGCTATAATTTTTCAGTCTCTTCCTCCAGTTCTGCCCACAGGGTTTCAGTGGAAACAAAGCCAACTTCAGGAGAAGCGGTTAGGTATGTCAAAACACAGCTTCAAAAAGAGAAAAAGAATGGAATGTTAAGACTTATTTATTCAAATGTACCTCAAAGATTTTTAGGTGTTGAAACAGAAATGCTGTTTGTTTGAAAGGCTTCAATATATCAGATTTTCTAGAAAATATATTGAAAATGTCCATAATTAACACTTCTCTATGCTCAGCAACATATTAGAATTCCTACAGAAGCCAAGTCTTAAAAAAAAGGCACTTGGCTTAAATTGCATGTATTTGGATCTCAAATTTATACCTTTAAAGTTAGAAATACCAAAAAGAACTCTAAGCAAGATAAAACAAAATATTTTACCTTCTCCAATTTTTTCCTTAATTTTGAACACGTTTATAAGCTGTGGCACTGCTTCATAAAGTTTTTCAATATCTTTTTTTATTCCTGCTGTGGAAAGAATGAGAGTACTAAGTTAAGAATTTTATTGCTTGATTCAATCTCTGATCACAAATCACATTTCAGTTCATAGGACTGTTAATTCACACAGACGTAGGAAAAAACAGCAGACAGATCCCTGCTGACATTACTATCTGCATACCTGACATTGTGTTCTTCATCACACTCCCTTTGAAGCTGCAGCATTTAAATTTTTTTTAATTCTTTTTTACTAATCTGCCACCTCCCTAGCAGTTACTGAGAGGCAAAAGCCTTCTGGTTAGTGAGACACCAGTTTACAGCTCATTGCTGAATGTTTTCATGTGATCTGCAATGTCAGTTATGTCAAGTAGTAGTTGTTTCTGTAGGCACAAGAGCACATCCATGGGATGCCAAGTAAAAAATGTAGGATTTTTTTTGTTTTTTAAGATCAATGTTTTGCACTGTTACTTAAGGCAGTAAACACCAAAAGCATGTTGGCTGTGCATTTAAGTTGCTGCAATCACTAGATGGCATAACAAGGATGTTGTACTGTATTATTTCAAAAAAGTATGAAGTTTTCCATTCATGTGACAAATCTTTGTAGTTTAAGTGTTCTCTGTACCCCACATAAGAATTTACTTCTTTTGAAGCTGTGAAGAAAGTAGAGTAGTTGTGACTAACTTCTTTAAAGCAGGGCTGAAGAATATTATAAGAAGCAAAAATAGTATTTGGAAAGGTAATCAAATGGCATAACTGGTTGGTAATACAAGTTATAGTCATCTTTCAACTGTAATTTTTTCAAAAATTTGTAAAAAACCAACATACTAAAAAATATATTTGAGAACAGAAGCCTGCTTTCCCTCTTCTAATAATATAATTGTTTATTTTTTTCCTTTAAGCTGCTCCCTCTTCTTCTCAAAGTTATTTTAAGTAATTTCAGGTGGGATATTTCAGGAATGGGAAAAAAAAAAAACAACAAGCCCCTATGCTACACACCCAAACATTAAGATACTGTTTTGATCAACAAATACAAATTAAAGTTCAGGAAGTTCTGTTAGGAAACATCTTTTAAAACTTAAAAAATATCCTATGATAGAAGTGACCAAAATTGTACTAACAGTCAAGATGTGCAGGACACTGTCTAATAATCAAAATAAAGCAAATTGAAAGTATTGAAGCAAAACTGTAGTTTAGTTCGACTTCTGATGAGAGTTGCTTAAGTTTCAGTTTTTGCTAAAAAAAGATACATACTGACAGTAACTTGTAACACAAAATTTGCACTGGAATTTCCCCAGTAAAGTTGCTTGGTTAGGAAAAAAGGACTTCAGTCTGGCAAGAAGCAAGACTCATAACAAGGACTCAAGAGGCACATCTTTTAAGTCCTTAGAAACTAGTATATTTCTTTCCTTACCACAGCAGCTTTTGGGTTGGTTTATGCCACCAGGCTTGCAGTCCTAAGGTAACAATTGTGAGAAACTGTAAAATCTGCCAGATGCTCCATTCTGCCTGACACTGAATTCAGGTTCCTGCCTGGACTAACAGCTGGGTGACACCAACTGCAGATCCTAGGCCACAGCAGTGCTTGCCCAAGGCACTGAGTATTTAGTAACTCAACACAGCTTTTTGTGTCAAAGATCCCAGAAAGTGCTAGGAGCAGCCAGTGACTCTCTTTGTTGACCAGCAGCAGTAGAAACATCATCTGTTCTCTTCTAGAGAGCATACAATCATTTTACCATCAGGGTATAGTAATAGTATCATTCAACATTTTCCATGAGCAGGTTTTAAAGTAATTTACTTCCTAGGATGGAAAGCATTTGCAAAGCATCATAGTTAAACATAATTGAGCATCACTCTATGCAATTCTGGACATGTATGTACAGAGGACTGACAGAGGACTATCTATTTCTAGGAGAATTAGTAGCCATGTTGTATAAACTGGCTCACCATCCACAATATACAGAAAGACCAGATTTAAGTACAGAAAGACCCAAAACCGAGCAACAAAACCACTATCAGAGTACATGTTTGTAGTTCAGCTTCACTACTAAGAGCAAGAACAGTGTGTTTATGCACATATACATATCTAAGGAAATTTCAGGATAAGGCTGGCAACTATAGGTTAAAAGGCAAAGTACTGAGTTTCTGTACTTGTCTGGTCAGAGAACTTCATTCTCAAGAACTGCTTTTTTTGAATTCTGGTATCCTCTTTCAGTAATACATTCTGTAATAAATAGGGTTAGCAAATTGTGAAAAACTACGCTGAAGTTTTGTAACACACAGAAACCAGGAATAAGCTTAGAAGCAAAAGAACTCAAATGTTTTTGTTTAATTAATTCTTTACACAGTAGGACCATTTACTGACAGGCTTAAAATTGATGCTGAAACATCCTAAGCAATGAAAAAGTGTGTCAGCAACAAAACCATAACCATGTTAGCAATCCCTATTTTGGCACATACCTGGAACCTTGCTGTTCTGCTCATGCTTCCCATGGAAGTCTTCGGCCTGATGAGGGTGCTGTTCATCACAGTGAGCCTTCAACACTGTCTCCATCACAAAACACGGGTAAAAAAATCCAAGACTTCGAGGACCACTTCTGGACACCTGGGGGAGCAAGCATATCTGGTAAGACATTTCCTGACCCTGCACTTAGTTCCTGAGATGAGATTTAGGGAGTCTGAAGAGTTCCTCTGTGCTACCTAAAACAACAGAGCATCACACCTCATCCTAGAAAAAAACTAAACCCGTAAACCTTTCTCCTAGTAACAGGAAAAAATGAGGAAGGGAAGGAAGACTGCAGGATAAGCTTAGACACAGGTCTATTTCTTTCATCTCGTGTGTTTCCTCATTCACATTAAGGCATTACCTTTTTCCTGAAGTTTGCTTTGAGAGGCAAGGAATTGATGCACACAGGAATAGCTGCACTGCATACTCCAAGACCCGTACAAAGACAAAGCCTGAAAGAAATTGTAAGAGGAAAAAAAGACATTCTTAATGAGAAATTTCTCTATCATCTAAATAAGATCAACAAAGGGCATATTTGTTGTTCTTCCTAACAAGAAATAATAGCACATGCTTATTTTTAAATGCTTCTTGGAACAGTGTAAGTAAAACTGTAGATTAGTGAAGTGTACTAATAAAAAATCCCTGACAATCCTATTTCATGAGGAAAAGAAAGGTAAGAGAGCCCCAGGGCAGGATAACCATTATAAAGTGAGCCTGGAAGCACCACCTCTTACAGTTGCCCAGCACCGGTTCCTTTCAAAGCTATTCTGGCTTGTAACTTTGCCAAACCTTCATGGTTCTGGCTGAACTTTTCCACACAGGGGAAGCATATTCTGAGAATCTTCAAATTAAAGAGTTCATCTTTTTCATCTATGGAGCTAGAAATACATTTTGTCCCCAAGGAATTCAAACTACCTTTAGACTTTTATCCTCATGCAACAGAACAAGGACAGGCAATGGCCTCTTTTTTTGAGGGAGCTTGCTGGACAGTGGGATTCACAAACTTATGGAATGAGATTAGAGGTATTTCTAGTCTCTGAAAGGTAGACACTCCCTCTGCTAGTGCTGAGCAGGCAGATAAGCCTGTTCCAAACCCGAAATGTAACAGCCTCACTAGCTGAACAAGGAGTGCAAAATTGCTCTGATTCAGCCCCACACCAGCCTCAGCTCTAGGTGCTTCCAGTTCAAGGCTGGCCACAAACACCTTGTTTGGAAAAAAGCAAATGAATGCTGCTGTGTGCCTGCAAACCACCATGGGAGCCCCTTCCTGGCTGGCTTGCCGTGAGGAGGATGGAAGGGGCTCACTAACTCAAGGTGTAATTCCCATTGATTTATGCTAAATGCACCAGATACCTCCTCTCCAGAGCTGAACACCTCAAATACTTGTGCGTACTAAAAAATTGGTTACTATCTTGGAAGTGGGCTTAACAGTTATAAAATGGAACATCAAAGCTTGATTCTGTCAGATACTTGCTTTTCACATTAAAAATACTCAAAATACACCCTTAGGCATAAAAAATTAACAGGAAGACCAAACGGATCGAAGTTTCTCATCAAAGAACTTTCTTGCAGCTAAATCGTATCTCCAGTTTAAAAAAATGTTCTCTGTATTATCAAAATAAGAAAAAAAACCCCAATCAGAGGGAGCGATTCCAACAGCCCACGCAGCTTTAGGGTCTCCCGAGTCACACTCGGCCCTTGCACACAGAACTGGGGGTCCCTGGCGAAAGCGGGGCCCCAGGAAGGGGCCGCGGCCGCCGAGCGGGACCGACGCGCAACCCCCTGGGAAAGGCCCGGCGTGCCCGAGGTAAAACCTTATGCTAATATCTGTACTTGTCGTTTAAGAAGCGCAAATCCTGGGGCCGGATCAAGTCCTGCAGGAAGTCAGTGCATCTGCAGAGGCACGATAAACGCATCGCGCACCCAGTTTCACGGTGCGCGGGATGAAGCCCGCGCTGCCGGGCAGGGGGAAGC